TGACTACTCTGAGCTCCCACAGAAACCAGTTCATCCATCTAGTGTAGAATTTCTGATTTTTATTAAAGTTGCAGGCCTGGGGATGCATCTTTTCCTGCTAATGTGTGCTTACTTATCTTTGTTTTACTTCTGTGTTTCGGCACAGTGCTGTGGTTATAAATGCTGAATGAAGCTTGAATTCATTCACAATTTCTAAAAAAATATCATCATTTAAAGAAAGTCAGGGGGCATACTTTACAGGACAATAACAGTTAAAGAGACATATTATATAGAAATAACTTTCTTTTGCAAATCATTTAGAAGCTAAAAACTGAATTTAGAAGGGATTGTTGAGATATATAAAAGTATTAACTTGAGGAGGATGTTGGAAGGTACTACTTCTCAAATTACTGAAAGTTTGTCAAAGACTGACTCCTCTAGCCACCAAGAAGAAAGGGGAGGAGAGTCAGCAGGACTCAGACTGCTACTGCCCTCCTGTCTATAGACACTCCTCTCTCAATCAGCAGGTTAGGAATTTATTTCTAAATGACATTTTTTACCATTATTCTTGCCTTTCAAAAGTATTTCATCAGCTTTTTGTTTCTTTTAATGTGTCCCATATGTTTTGGAGACTTGTGTCGTCATTGTCATTCTTCTCCAAGTATTTTCTAATTTCATCTTTGATCTCCTCATTGATCCAATGGTCTTCCAGTAATGTGGGTTTTAGTCTCCACGTGGTAGGTGGGTTTCTTGCCTTCTCCATATGGTTTATTTCTAGTTTGATTCCTTCGTGGTTGGAGAATATAGTTGGTATGATTTCGATCTTAGTGTATCTATTGATATTTATCTTGTGACCCAGTATGTGGTCAATCCTAGAGAATGATCCATGTGGATTTGAGAAAAATGTGTACTCAGATTTTCTGGGGTGCAGTATTCTATAGATGTCCACTAGACCCATGTTTCCAGGTCCTTGTTCAGAGCTTTAGTGTCTTTACTTATTTTTTGTCTTGTTGATCTGTCCATTGTTGAGAGTGGCGAGCTTTCTGTTTCTAAGAAATACATTGATCATCTGACAATTTTTGGATCTGGTATATTTACACTAGAATGTCATTCTAACATTGTTTTACGATGAATAGAACTTGACAATGGGTGTTCTTCCGTGGGACAAAACTAAAGAGTTTTAAACCCCAGATGGGAGGTTTTCTCACCTATAAGGAAGCCTGTAGCATAGATATGAAGAATCACCTTATACCAAACTCCAGATTTTCATTTAAAGACATGGGAAACTTCTGGAATAGCAAGAAGATGAATAGTTTTAACAGATGGAGAGGATTAGGCTGTACAACGGATTGAGTTTCTGTGTTCAAACTTACTGATTTCATAGTTTTTCTTCATGCATCATTCAAACCACAGTATTTAAAGTAACTTCTAAGAAACAGCCAGATAGAGTTCCAGGTGTAAAGATGATGTCATTTCAGAGCTGGCATGGGGCCCAAATTTCTAAGCCATATTTTTTCTATCTATCCCCTCCCTCTCTGCATTGTTAGACTCCTGTGCCCACATCATAATTAGGGTTTAAGTTTGTTGACAAACAGTGACATATACCTGGAATGTTAAAAGAATTCACAGCTGTGAAGGGCCATAGGTACCTAAAGGTGCTTTCTGAGTATGCAAATATTGTTTATTGTTTTCAATTTTTAATACACTCTTTCAGAAGCTTGATTTAAAAAAAATATATATCCATTTCAGGCCCTCCCTAGTGGCACAATGGGTTAGGAGGCAGCACTGCAAGCTAGCCACAGCTGCTTTAGTGCAAATTTGATCCACCGCCATAGAGGTGATCCACATGGCATGGCAGACCTCTCCTGACCTGCCCACCGCTCCCCTTTGCACAACACTTCATTGAGCTGCCTTTTCTGCTCCCCACTCTGTCTTTGGTGAAGCCTCTTGCCACCCCTGCACCTCTGGCCTGTACCCCAGTGCTGTATGAATAAATAATCTTTAAAAAAAATACCCGTTTCAAACTGCTTCAACTTTTCAAACTTTTTAGAATCCCTTCCTATAAAACTGTTTGCAACTACGAGTCTACACTATTTCAATTGGTGCTCTGTAACATAAATGAAATTGTGTGTGTGAATTAAAAGAGTGTTTTTTTTTTTCCCATTTTATTTTGCAAGTCAACTGGTTTGAGCAAACTACTCCTTGAAGAGGAAATGAGCTGACAGGTTTGCCAGCAATAAAAAAAAAAATCAATGAAAGGCTAAATCTGGGTCCAATAGGGAGATAGTGGGAGGTTCCCAATTGGACTTTTATCTTTTTTAAAAAATTAGTTTTATGGAGATTTAGTTTGTATACAGGGTCTACAAATATATAAAGTATACAACTTGGTAACTATAACATACTTATACCCTTATGAAGCTATCATCACAAGCAAGAGACAGAGGACATATCCATCACCCCTAAAAGCTCTTCCGTGCTTCATACGATAGCCCCTCCCTTGGAACCACTGACTGGCCTATAGCCATGCCTAAATGCTGGGGATCAAAACACTGTGGGTGACATGACCATACAGGAAGAAGAATACAGCCTGACAAAAGAAATTTAGCTTTTTGTTAAGATACTGCATCTAGGATGTGGTTTTAAAACTTGTTTCCTTCTCGCTTACCTTTTCAGTGAATTATTTACAGATTTTTAAAATTAAATTTAGCCAGATTTGTAATCACTTACTTTTACATGAAAAATAAGGTATGCAGGTAGAGTCACATAAAAGGAGGGGCAGATTGTTTGGGCCAATTGGGGCATACATTCACAATACCATCAAGCATATTTTATGGTCACATAACAGTTTTCTGGTGCTAACAGTTAATTGAGCCTAATAGTATTTCTCATTAGTATTGTGTTAGATATATGAGCTACAAACACACTAATCCTTATTTTGTGGGTGGTGGCTTTTAAATTTATATAGTCCATTCTGGTTTACTAAACGCTTCAAGAGGAGCAAAGAAATCCTATTGATGATCTAGGTCATTTGCCATATAAGGAAAGACACAACAGATCCCATAAAACTGTACGTCTTAGAAAGTAGAATAGGTGTTATTATTTATTGGATATAGAGCTTCAGTTTGGGCTGATGAGAAGTTCTAGATGTGAATAATGGTCATGGTTTCACAACAATACTCAGTGAATTTCATTATAAAATGCAGGGTTAAGCAGATAGAAATACATTTGGAACTACAGTAATGGCAAACTACATATTTGTAAGCCTATATTCTTGAGGACTATTTGGAACATGTGCAAAATGACTAAGAATGACTGGTTTGAATTACTACCTGGAAATAACACCCTTCCCACCCTCCAAAAAAGACAAATAAATTAATTTATCAAAAGCATTGATTAGGCAAATATACTTGACACTAACATGATATACAAAATATTTCAAAACAAATTAACCATTTTCAGTGAAGTGTTTGTCCACACACAATCTTGTGTGATGCTCATATATTTTTTAATAATAAGGAAAGTGAAGAGTAGAATATATAATTTGACCAAGTTAGTCTCAAAGGGGTTCAATCCCAGGGTTTGTTAGTCTTTTTTGTTTTTTTCCTTTAAATCAAGTTCTTTGGTCCATATTTTTCCTGAAATATATAGAGGCATGTGATAAACGTCACTGTCCCTAACTCTCTTTCTCTCTCAGTCACGCCCTACCTAAAACCTTTAAATAGCTTCCAGTTGTATTTTCAATAAAATTCAGTCTTGCTTCTATGTCATCCTAGGTGCTGGAATCACCTCTCCATGCTCATACCAGGTTCTTACATGCAGCACCTTAAAACAATTCCTCAAGGTCTTTCTCACATTGCTAGCTCATTAGATAGGACTTATCTGACTACTCTTCTTTTTAATCCATCCTGTTATCTGCTATCCCAGAATTCTGTTCATAACATTAGCAGAATGTCTTCTTCCAAAATGTGATGAGGTATTTATTATCCCTCTTGCCACTAGACTGTCAACTTCAAAAATGTAGACTTTTTTTGTTTCCCTCACCTGGGTACTCTCAGCCTTTCACTTTCAAGGAATGCTTGTTGACTGGCTGAGTACAATGGAAGAAGTGGAGACAGTAAATAGAGCTGTAAACTCAGTAAAAGAGATTAATGTCTATTCTGTGAACTTTGGGTAAATTGAATTTGAAACCAGAGGGATTTTTAGGGTCCTGTTTTTTTCCTTCATTTTTCCACGAAATCACATCTATTAAGTCGTCGGAAGCCTATGCTAAGTACTTCCATAGGTATTCTAGAATTTAACTCTCAGAGAAACCCTGGAGGGCTAATCATCCTCACTTTTCAAGAGGCAGCTTGCCAATAGTCATTAATGGTAGAGCCAGTCTTTTAAGTAGGCCATATCCCATTCATACAATGTAATCTACACCCGTTCAGCTAACAATAGGTATTTTATAAAAGTACTTTTAAGGGAAACCCCCTGAATTCCCCATTTTACCTTAGTGTCTTGGGGCCATAATCTACTAGGTGGTTGCTAAACCCTTTGGGGGTTTCCTGGGGAATCTGAGCACCCACAGCGAAAAGCAGTCTCTCAAGTCGCCGAGCTCGGGTAAGGTAAAGGCAGGACTCCCAAGACTGCTGGGGAGGAAGAAGGAAATAGGTCAGTTGACCCGAGCCAGTTCCCTGACCCGCGGGGTGTTGAAAGGGGAAGAGAAGGTTTCCTCACCCACGCCTGCCTCCGGCTCGGGTTCTCCCGACCTGACTGGGAACCACAGCGCTTTTCCCCAACTACAGCTTGCGTCACGGGCAAGACGGCTCAGCCCCGCCTACTTTCCCCGCCCCTTTTAAGAGTAGGCGCTAGGACCCGCCATCCTCAACCCGGCCCTGCCTCTGCCCCTCAGGCCGATCCTGGCCCGCGATTGGTCCTCACCGACCACGGTCCCCGCCCCCGCCCCCTCCGTCACTGCCAAGATGGCGCCCGTCGCCGCGGCCGCTGCCGCGGCTGCAGGCTCAGAAGAAGGAGGCGGAGGCAGCGGCGACCGCAAGGGGAGGGGGAGTCCCGTCTGACTGAGACGGCAGGCCTGGGCGGGCGGGGGTGCCGCGCAGGGCGGAGCGCCGGGCTAGGGATGAGCTAAGCTGGCTCCGATCGTCGCGGCGTTCAGCCCCTCGTGTCCCGCCGCCGCGCGTTAGAGGACCCGGCGCCAGTCTCCAAGCTCGACCCGCTGATTGCGCTGGAGACAGCGGCGAGGTGAGTGTGGGGGCGGCGACGCGGACAGAGGTGGCATGTGGAGCTGTCACGGCCCGGAGCGGTGACAGCGAGGGGCACGGGTGCCGAGCAGCCGGGGACCCGGGAGGTGGAGTGGACGGCCGCGACCTCCGCCCAGGGGTTTCTCAGAGCCCGGCCATCCTCGGCGGGCTCGGTCCGCCCCGGGATGGCGCGGCGGTGCTGAGTAGCTCCCGCGCCCCGGCGTCGGACGCGTGGGGGGTTCCAGTGTTTTCATTCTGGATTTTCTATTCTGGGCTATTCTGGGGTTCTTGTTATTAGAAAGTGGGGGTGGGGGCGGGGGCGGTGAGAGGGGAGGTCCTGGAGCTGGGATTTTGACTAGGCGGTTACGTAAGACGGAGGTGGCCTCCCGGAATCCCACCTGCTCAGTATTTTAAACGGGAGACAGCGGGTGCCTGCCTGATCCCCCAAGGCCCGCTCTCCTTCCTGGGAGTCTGCCCCTTCCTACTCCGGCCCGCGTGTGCGAGATCAGCCTCCAAGTTACCCAGGTTTCCCCCCACCCCCGGTCTTTTTTTTTTTTTTTTTTTTTTTTTTTTTTTTTTAGTGGGGGTTGGGGGGAGGACAGGGGTAAACGATTCTTGGTGGTCATCATTCCCTTTGAAGTTTATCGCTTTCGGTGGGGTAGGGGGAAGCTTTGGGGTAAAAAGAGAAAAACCATTTGACCTAAAACTGGGTCGCAGTTACAGCTTTTCGTTATCGTGCTTTTAAATGACAGATGTGCTGGAAGATTTTTGTTATTGTTCCAGGGTGCTTTTAATCCAAACGTATGGTTGTGCTTGGAGCCTTAGAGAAGGGTTTTGTCTTATAGGACAGTTAATTCTTGTTTGCAACAGCAGAACAAGCTTCAGTCAACAGGCATGTATTTATTTTAGGAGAAATCGCGTGTCAGCCAGCCAGAGACCCGTGAGGGCAGAAATTGTTATTCCGTGAATATGTTATTCTTTAAAATATATTGATTATACATTAACGAAAATAATAGTCCAAGTGTAAGACAAACACTCTTAACGAGACTGCACGCTGTTATTTGGGGCTGTTACATATAGTCGTTTTCTATTTTTTTGTTTGCCCTAGTCTACCTCGTCTCTCCTCTTGGGGAAAGGAGGCGGAGACACCTGTAAACAACGTAGCCCAGGTTACACTAATCTAATGTAGTACATTTGAGATTATTGTCAAAAGTAGTCACTGGGGAATCTAAGCTTGGGTAATAAGTAAGGACTCTGGGCAAGTTACTCAGTTTATGTTTAGAGTAGATAGTTCTGGGATCCAGCTTTTGAGAACTTAAGTAATACAGAATTCTCAGCTATTTGAACCCTGTTTGAACTTATAATGAAACAAAAGATTTTATTTGGTTTCTTTTATGGGAACTTTTTGTTTTGTTTTGATCAGAATTGAACATTTTGGGTAACTTTTACTTCATTTTCACAATTTCCCATTAAGCTATAGCCCTCAGGCAGAGTTCAAAATAACATACATACATCATTGTCGTTGCCATATATCTTATATATTTCATAATTTTCTTTGATTAAATATAGACCTGCTTTATTGTGAAATTTTATTAAAATGTTCTTCTTGTTAAAGAAGATAATTGATCTTGACACCAGCCCACTATTGGGAATAAGCATGAATATAGTTTGGTCTGTGTTTTTAAGCTCATGTACACAAATTTGCACTTTGAAAATAGGTGAAGTGATATGAATTTTCTGTTTTTCCAAGAGAGCCAAAAACTGATGCTGATTAGTTCTGAACTTTTCCACATGCATTACCACTGATTTAAATAGTTAGTGATTTGGAAATTCTGGAGCTATCAGTCTGTTTATGGCAACTTGAATAATACTTGGAATAATTGGAAGATATAAGAAGAGACAGCACAGGATATTTTTTTCTCCAGTCTTCCCTCACACGACATTTGTTAATTGGTTCAAAAAACAATAGAAATCATGGCAGAGTTATAAAAGAAAAGTTGTTTTTCATTGAGTGAGGTTAGTTATCTTTTTTGTTTGCAGACTTTTTCTAAATTCTACTTACTATGAAAACTTGAATTTAAGCACCAGTACAGATACAGATGTTTGGGATATTATAAGTATTGTGTTTTTCCTTTTTTAATTGATGGCTCATTCTAGGAGGAAAACAAAAGTGACTCCAGTAGGAAAGTTGATTTGCCATTTTTGTCCTCTCTGATGTCAGAGACTTATGTTTATGGGATCTTGCTTTTTCCTACTAGTTGTAGAAGAAGAGTAACTGAAGAAAAGAGATAAAAATGTCTGCCTATTTGTTTTTATAATGCCCTAGATTATTGTTTATTGCTCAGTAGAATATGGGATTTTGGGGATGAGTCAAGCATGCCATATATATGGGGAAAATCAAGCATTCTATACTATATATGAGATAATAGCATATCAGAGTTACCACTTTGAAATCTAAAACAGCAATGTAAAACTGTATACATAGAAAATTATTAATGTGTATATGTTATTAATAGTGAAAAAGTTATTAATAGTCAAAATGCTACTCAGCTGAGAAATGTTAAAATTAATGATAACCCACATGATAGATTCAGTTATTACATCATATTTTCAAAAATATTTACTGATATGAGGAAGTGTAATATAGCATTGAGAAAAGAATCAGAATATAAGGAAATATATATGATGTTATTATTCATAGCATGCTATGTGTGTATTCCAAAATGACTGGTAGCAAATATGTAACCTTAAAGATGTTACCCAGTTTATAGGATTATAGGTAGTTTTTATTTTATTTTATTTAGATTTATTTATTTTATTCATACAGAACTGGGGTAGAGGCTAGAGATGCAGAGGGTGAGAGAATTCACCAGGACAGAGTGGGCAGCAGAACAGGCAGATCAACGAAGTACACTGCTGAGGGGAGCAGTGGGCGGGTCAGGAGAGGTCTGCCGCGCCATGTGGTCACCTCCGGGGCAGGCGGGGATCGAACTCATGCAGAAGCAGCTTTAGATTCTCAGTGCAGTGCTTTAACCCGCTGCGCCACCAGGGAGGGCTGATATATTTTATTTTTTAAGGTTTATTTACTTTATTTTTTTCTACTGAATAATATCCTAATAATCACAACATGCCATTAAAATAATTTCAAAGTTTGTAGGAGAAAATCCCACATAACTACTGCTTCAAAAGCAAAACTGTGAGTTTTAGCAAAACTAATTCAAAATATGGCATTCATGGGATACTCAGTAATGGAAACATTTAATAACTTAGGTAGAGACATTCTTCCAGTTACCAGCAGTACCCTGGCATTAGGTTTATATATGTGGATGCTTATCACTGCTTTCCAACCTTTTTTTATTTGCAGCTTGTACCCAAACTGTTCTATGTTGACAGCGCCACCTATTGATGGACTGTTCCAATCAGTTTTTTCTCATTACCTCAGCTGTCCATAGGTATCCTTATTTGAATGTTTATGAGGTACCAGGCACTTTGCTGTAGTCATTGAAGGTGCAGTGAAATACCAGTTCCAGCTTCAAACTCTGTCTTTTCCCTTTGGGTCATCAGAGCATATAGAGTGCTGTGCTATTCCTGTTTCACTGTTCATGGCCTGGCAACTTAGTGACATTTTCCAGGTGCTAATATACTCTTTGAAGTACCTAAGTGGAAAAATAAATGTTGAGTTCTAGGCAATTAATTTGTGAATAAATTTTGGGAATTTTAATCGACTGTATGTTGGGGACTTATATTCAAAAGAGCTACTGTGACTGTTACTGTTTTTTTTTAAAGTATGTTTCAACATCTTGGTACCTTTTCTTGCTTCATTCTTTTACAAATCTCAAATAGAGTAGAGACAACAGGAGGTAGAAAGATATGAAGGTAGTTTTCCTGCTAGTACAATACCTTATTTTGCTGATAATAGTGAGTCATCAAAATATAAGATATACTGTTTCTGGCACACTTTTAATATATCTATGATCTGTGTAAAATGTATTTTCCATATGGAAAAAAATATATGTATACATTATATATTAGTTATATAAATGCACACAGTTAGCTATTTTCATTTCAAATAAAAGCTGAAATATGGAAGTCAGAAATTTCTTAAAGGTCTTTTTGTTGTAATATTTTATAGATGAGACAGCTTTATTTTTGAAAAATTTTAAAAATAATACAGAAAATTTTAAAAAGTAGTGAACATACACATACCCACCATGCAAATTGTTAATATTTTCCATTTTTGTTTCAGATGTTTAATATCAAAGATATCTAATAGTTATCAACTGAACTCTAAAAGAGCAGTGCAGAACTTTATTCTTTACTTGAACACTGCTAATGAAGTTAAATTCTCTTTTGTTTTCCCCAGGTTCATCCTCCTTTCATCTCTCTTATTCCCTCCCAGAGGCAGTTGTTATGATAAATTTGATGTATATTCTTCCAGCTTACCTTTTAATAAACTATATATAAGAAAAATACATGCAGTGCTTTGAACATTTTTGAAGAGCATGGCTGTAGCTTGCTCTCTTTGTTTGAATCTTGATTTTGCTTCTTGACCTTAGGCAGGTTTTTAAATCTTTTCATGCCTCAGTGTTTCATCTATCAAATAAGGATTATGTGCACATATACCTCATAAGGTTGTTATATAAAACAAATGAGTTTACTTCCATTAAGCGCCTAAAGTGGTTCCTGGAGCTTTTTTGTTAACATGCTGGTAAATTTAAGCAGTTATTGATAACGCTTGTATCATGGCACACATATTTTGAAGCTTGTTTATCTGTTTTCCTTTCAATACTTGTTGAACAGTGTAGATCTAATTTTATTTATTTATTAACTGCTGGTGTTCCACTGAATGAATATACGGTCATTTCTCCTTTCTGCTATTGATAAGCATTTAGATTGTTTTCACTTTTATCTGTCATAAACATCCTCGTATCTCCTATAGTAACATGCTAGGCTTTCTCCAGATAAGGTATCTGATTGTCTAATTACTGGGTTCTTAGGTAA